ATACTTGGTTTATTATCTCAAAGCCCAAATTGCCCAAAAATTACACATTATATAACCAGGGTGCGCAAAAATTCGCTCGCGAATGAATTAAAATATTTTTTGTGATCATTTTACGAATGAATTTATGACGATAAATTCTTTACCAAACGAGCCATTCGCCAAAGAATGTTCGCACACACATAACAAACGAGTTAGAGCACACAACAACGATCGTTAGTTTCATTTGGTGGTTGAAATTCTTTCTGACATTCTCTCACGAATGAAAACAAACATTCCCGAATGCTCGCTATGTTGTCAGGGTATTATAGCTTTGTGCAGCCCCAAGAGTTTGTAACGTCGCGAAATATTGGTCCTTTAAGTATACCGATCGTCATATCTCGACTAGCTGAGTCGATCTAGACATGTGTGTCCGTCCGTCGATTATAAATTGTAAACACGATACAGCTATGGACCAATCTTTTCAAAATTGTTCATGTAGGATGGGTTCGGCCTAATGAAGATGATAAAGATCGGATGATATTTAGGGTATGAAATGGACCAAATACTTAATTTTTTTCGGGTTTTCTGGTCGCTCCAGAGGCCCAAACATCTCGAATTTTCACATGGAGAAGGGGATTGGACCCAAGACTTAGCATACCTATTTTGGTAAAGATCGGTCAATATTTAGCGGGTTTGGACCCAAGACTTATTTTGGTAAAGATCGGTCAATATTTAGCGGGTCAAATGGACCCTGACTTTTGTGTTAAAAATTACAAAATTTGTATTCTATGGTGTATATATTTACTCCTGAAGGACATAGAGCCGAGAAGTTGGTAGTATATCCTTGAGGATTGGTTGACCTTTAAATTGATACGAATTATAGTGTCGTATGTACTCGGATGTGGGAGTTACACTTAGATATTTGCAGATGCTTACGTACTCAGATATTATTTAGTAACCCAATACCACACTAGTGGGCGGAAATATAGCAGAGATCGCTTTGAAAATTTCCATAAGGTTGCAGTTAAAGGGCTAAGCAGAATGCTAGCGTTGAGCCATCCGTCGCGTTAAATTTTATCGAAAATACAACAACCACATGGAAACGATATGCGTTTGTGTTATCGCTTATCGTTTCCTTGCGGTTGTTGTATTTTCGATAACATATAACGCGAAGGATGGCTCAACGCGAGCATTCTGCTTATCCCTTTATGGTCAAGGACAAAGCTCAAGAAATATTGCCCAGGCTTGGAATAAAAATCCGCAGAAAGTTAGAGTTACGTGGTAGTTGTGTAGGGTATCGTAAGGTTGTGTAGGTTATCGTCCGCTCACTGGTTTTGTGGTATTTTTTGTTGTTGTTTTTAACGGTGATCGCGAGCATTCGCGAACATTTGTTTTTTTTTTTTTTTTGTTTTTTGAGTTTTTCAAAAGAATGTTCTTCAGCAACAAATGCTCGCGAAAGAACGAGTCGATGACGCTGGCAGCGAAATTTTATCGTTCGTGCATTTTTCGTACAGTGCGAACATTCGTGAGAGATTTGCAATCTTGTTAATTTTTTGTAATTTTATCATTCGCGATAAATTGAAAACATTCGAATTCTCGGCCGTGAGCATTCGTGAGAAATAGCGTATTTTAATCATTCTTCGCACCCTGGTTTATGCTACGTATACGTAGCGCAAAAGACCTCTGTTAGACTTTTCGATTTTTGCCTCCGATTAAAAAGTCGACTTTTCGATCTTGTCAAACCGGCTCAAAATCGATTTTCGACATTTCGAATTTTGCTAAATCGATTGAAAAAAATATTATTTTATACGAATTGTTGTCAAAATACGAAATAAAGTTCTGGAAGATGCAACTTTTGGGAAATTATGGTTTTATGACAATAAACCAAGTATTAATAAAGAAAATCGAAAGTCGATCTTGAAAAGTCGACTTTGCGATTTCCTCTAAAGCGGTGTACACACTATCATTTTTGACTGTCAACTTTTTTATCGATTACTGACTGTCCAACAACCATAAATATTTTTGTGGTTGCCTGATGAATGACAAACATGCGAGGCCACACTATCAAACAAGCAAAATTTGGGCAAGAGTGCCATTCAAAAATGCTAGTGTGTACACCGCATAAGATAAAAAGTCGACTTCGACCTTAAGACTTTTCAATACAAAAAGTCGATTAGTCGAAAGTCGATTTACTTATCCCTAGTATAAACTTTGACCAAGATCTATTAATAAGGTCACCAAGATAGCAATCGAAATCGGAAAACAGCTGTTTTTACTCAAGTCTAATGTCAAAAATTTCAACTTTGTTTACGTTTTCATAATGGAAGTCAATTCACAATAATGCATTTTGACAGCAAACATGAGAGGTATCGATAACCAGCTGGTCTCCCTTGGTGACCTTATTTATAGGCCATGACTTTGACGATATCAAACTCAAACCTTTTAGAGTGGCATTGATTCAAACCTATTGTGAAACCAAATCAGACCTTTCCTGATAAATATTTTTATATAAAATATACAGGTCTGTAATTATATCCAATTTTTGTATATAATATTTTGAAGTAATTATTAATAATTACTTCTTTTTTATCTCTTATTAATTTGTTCGATATATGTTTTGTATTTTTTTTTTCATTCTTTCAATTGAAGCACAAATAAAGCACATGGAGAAATAACATTTATCAAAAAATGTAATTGTACATTTGTTACATTATTAACTTTGAACTTGTTTTTTTGTATGTAAATTGTGTTTGCGTTCATTTTTAGTTTAATAATTTAATATATGTTTATACCTATTCTGATATTTTTTCTTCAGGTCAGTAAATATATATTTTTTACATACATTATTTTTTATTTCAACCTTATATATATTTGTATTCTTTCATTCATATTCTTATTTTTATATTTTTTTGTTTGGTCAGTGTTCAATATTTTATATATTATATATATATATATTATTTATATATATGTTTAATATATATTTTATAATATTTTTATATATATAGTATTATTAATTGGCATATATGCATATATGTATTTTTCCTCTTTCTCATTTTTTATTAAGAATTGAAATTTGTTAATTAATTTTTTTCTCCTTCTGTATATAAATAAGCCATATATAATATGATGATCCCACAACAAAGACATTTATAAAAAATTGGTAATTTTTTTGTTTTTGTTTTTTTTTTTAATATAAACATAACTCATATCTGTGTATATGGATTTTTTGTAGGACGAATGTAATTGTTCCAAGCTTATTTCAGTTTCTTTATATAATTATTATTATTTTTTTAAATATTGTTGTATGCCTAATTAAATAGTTTCAATTTTTAAATATTTTTGGTTCAACTTGTCATTTATTTTTGTATTTATTCATTTTTTTTTTGTAATTTTTCTTGACCCCAATGTGATGTTTTTTTTTTTAATTTTATAATTTGTTTTATTATTATTATTAATTTTGTACAATTCATCCAGGAACTTGCGTGCTTATATTGAAAGTATTTTTTTTTTAAATAATTTAAAACATAAAAATCCAATTATTTTTTAAATTTCTTGCATTGTATGTTCTTATAAGTATATATTTTTTGTTCATATATAATTATAATTTTTTGTTTAATTTTTTGTATTATATATTTTATTTTTTTTGAAAACCTAACCTACAAACTAACCTAACCTTAAAAAACTAATTCGTTATGAAACGTATCGCACATGGTTGTTTTTTTATTTTTTATTTAATAATATTATTTTTAATTTTTGCCATTCAATTTGATTTAATAATCATTTATGTATTTCAAACACACACCATCACATTTATATATCTGTATATTTTACCAGCCCAATAAAATTAATAATATTAATTAAATCTTTGTTTTTTTTTAAAGTTTTTAACTTATTACTTATCACATCAAATATATCGTTTATTACACTTTCATATTTTTTTCGAAATAGTTTTTTGTTTTTCATTTTAAAAAGAAATATAGGCGGATTTAATTATAAACAATAATAATTTAATTAAAAAATTAATAATAAAAAAAGGCAAAAAGTGTTCGATATATACCCTCGGCCAATGGTTTGTAGAGCCCTACACACAGGTGTTATTATTCGGGTACCAAATGGTCGGTCCATTCCATTTGGATAATAACACCTGTGTGTTGGGCTCTACAAACCGTCTACCGTCTTCGAACTTAAGACATTACGATGTAAAAAGTTTCGATGCAATTGGACATTCTGTTCATATGAAATTTACAAGTTTTCAAAATGTTGGGCCTCTATGTGAAGGTACCAGAAGGAGTAGACCGATGGGTTGCATTTTCGAACATGATTTCATTAAAATGTTACTTATTAAAAGTATTACTATAATGTGCAAAATTTGGATCGGGGAGATACCAGAAGGAATGGACTAATGGGTCTCGTATTCGGTGCTGACCTAGGTTTGGGAAAAGATTGGTTTAAATTGGATATTCAGTTCGCATGATATTACAAAAACAATTTTCAGCAAAATTTTGAACATGTTGTGTGAAAGGTACCAGAAGCAGTGGATCGATATACCCCATCTACGAACTTGATTTAAGTAAGGAAGAAATATTTGAATGAAATCGTTTACTCCCATCGAGAGTTGTTGTGCCGCACCGCCGCAGCTACTAGGTCGAGGGTATTTAATAAAACTAAAAGAATAATAGTTATATAATTAAAAAACCAATACTTCAAATAAACATATTTATTTTTAATAATAGATTTTATAAAAATAATTAATTTCTAGAATAATTTTCCCCATTTCAATAAAATAACCACATTTTTTCTAAATAAAAAACATAATTACAACAAATACAAGTGTCAGTCGGTGTTAGTCGGACACCCTTTGGTTTGCGGAGGATGTTGACTATTTGTGTCGAATGTACAAGGGGAGAGGGCAGACGGGTCCCACCTTCGGACTTGATCTAGGCTTGGTAAAGATAATATATTGGGCAAAGCTTGGCGACACCGGGTTTCTTTAGAAAAGAGCACATAGTTTGGACATTAAAATGGGACGCACAAATGCTGCTATAGAAGAGGAATTAAAAACCTATTTCAAAAGCCATAGCAAAATAAGAGAACAAAAGGCACACACGTCAAAGGTCCACTCTGTTGGTTGGAGTTGTGATGGCCGGCGTTTGGCTTCGGCATCCTTTGACAAATCGGTGGCTGTCTACACATTGGAAAGGGATAGAGTGAGCAAAGAAAACACCTATCGTGGTCATAGTGGTTCAGTTGATCAATTGTGTTGGCATGCCTCGAATCCCGATCTCCTGAGTACAGCAAGTGGTGATAAAACTGTTCGTATTTGGGATATACGGGCGGGTAAATGTTCATCGGTTACCAATACCAAAGGTGAAAATATCAACATAACATGGTCCCCAGATGGCAAGACTATAGCTGTGGGCAATAAAGAGGACTTGGTGACATTTATTGATACTCGCACCAATAAGATACGTGCTGAGGAGCAATTTAATTTTGAGGTCAATGAAATCGCCTGGAACAATAGCAGCGACTTGTTTTTCCTGACAAATGGCATGGGCTGTGTACACATTCTCAGCTATCCCAGTTTAGAGTTACAACACATTTTAAAAGCCCATCCGGCCACATGTATTTGCATTGAATTTGACCCGACAGGAAAATATTTTGCAACCGGTTCGGCCGATGCTTTAGTATCATTATGGGATGCCAATGAATTGGCATGTTTACGTGTATTGTCACGTTTAGATTGGCCGGTGCGTACCATATCCTTTAGTCATGATGGCAAGCTGATAGCATCAGCTTCGGAGGATTTACTTATTGATATTGCCCATACAGAAACGGGTGAGAAAATTGCCGATGTACCAGTTGATGCTGCCACATTTACAGTGGCTTGGCATCCAAAACAATATCTGTTGGCATATGCCTGCGATGATAAGGATAGTAATGATAGACGTCGTGAAGCGGGTAATTTAAAAGTATTTGGATTCCAAGAGTAGAATGTTTAGTTTTCATTTTTTTTAAGTATGATTTTAAATAAAATATCTATGATATGAAAATGGAAAACGGACATTACATTAGCCTGATATCGGATTTATAAATATTGCAAACCCAGAAGGAGTGGACCAATGGGTCCCATCTACAAACTTGATCTAGGCTTGGTAATGATAATAGGTTGTGCAAAGTTTTGTTCAAATCGGACATTCAATTCGCCTGATATTGGATTTATAAATATTGAAATTTTTGACTCCCTGTGGGGGAGGTACCAGAAGGAGTAGACCAATGAGCCCCATCTTCCCACATGATCTAGGCTTGGTAAAGATAATAGGTTGTACAAAGTTTCGTTAAAATCGTATAGTCCGTTGGCGTGTTATTATAAAATTAATTTTTAGCACAATTTTTACCATTTTGCGGCGGAGATACCAGAAGGAGTGGACCGATATTCCCCATTTTCAAACATAAACTAAGTTTGGAAGAAATATTAAGATTTGCGAAAATTGGATGAAATCAATTATTTCCCTCGAGAGTTATCGTGCGCACCAGCCAGACAGACGGACGGACATGTGTGAATCGACTCCAAATTGTCTGAAACGGATTTGGTACCAAAGAAACATGGGGACTAAAGCCAATATTTCGATTCTCACCGTATCAAAGTGTATATACCCTCATTTGCCATAAGGTTGAGGGTATAATAAACTATAAAAATAATATAATAAATAAAAAAAAACATTTTTTATATACCAACAAATTATTAAAAACTATTTTTTGTTTTAATAATATTTAATTGAAATATTTTTAAATGATTAGAAATCTTAACATTTGTTTTTGAATAAATATTAATTGTTTATAATTATGAACACAATATGGGGTGACCATAGCTCTAAAGGGTTATAAAATCGTAATAAAAATCATATTTTTTATTAAAACTTTAAATTAAATTAAAATATTAAAACAAAAAAATTAATAAAAATTATAATAAAACCTAATATTTTCTTTAAAAAAATAAAAATATATAATTATGTAGTCCTAAAATTTCCCCCAAAAATTTATTTAAAGAACAAATCTATACATTTTTTTCTCGACTCTACAGTCCAACTGATTTTTTTTTTTTTAAATTTCTTGTCGTAGACAATTTCTTAACTTACAAAATTGGTATTTGTTTCGAGAATTGAAAAAACCCCAATACTGGTGGTTGTTTAATTGAACCTGGAAATATTTCACCTGGTATCGAAGATAAATATACATAACAATTTTAAAAAGGTTTTGAATCGCCTCTAAAGTATGTTTATAGTCCAGTTTCAGCACCTAATGAGTCAATGTAGTTTCCAATAAAAATATCAATAGCAAGTTAAAGAAAAAAATTGCATTTTCATGAAATGTACATATTCTCTGGAGAATATAGTTTCAAAATATATCAATTCGAATATTTAGTCTATTTTTCATTTAAGGGAAGCCCACCCATTCTCGATTTTAATTTTTCAAGATTTTCAATGGGCTGGTAAATCAATACCAATGTTTGTTAAGATCTACGCCCATTGGCTTTATCCTACTTCATACGATAGCTATTAGTTTTTGAGTTATCGTGTCATTCGCCATTCGCAAAAGAGAAAAACGCGTTTAAAGTTTGAGAAGCCCTTTAGCCGTCACTTGATGCTGACAAAATAAATCGGCTAAATTTTCAAGAGTTCTTGAGATTTTCACTTGAAATTTTGTAGGGACATTCTTGAATTAGTGTAGATTCGAATTCAATCAAGAAAAAAAAAACAAGTAAGGAAAGTAGTAAAGTCGGACGGGGCCGACTATATGATACCCTTCACCACTATGGGTATATTAAACAGGACTATTAACATGAAATTGGATGAAATAAAATATGTGATATTTATCTAAATGTGAATCTACCTAGATCTATCCATAAAGTATGTAAATCGACTTCAAACAAATATAAATAGGTCATCCGTTGGGCTATGTCTGTATTTCTAGAAAACGCAACTATGTAATTCTATGCTCAATTTTGTAAGTTGTGCAAAATTTGATGTCAATCTGACAACATGAGGAGTTTTATGCCCAATTTACTTGAAATCGGACGAAAATATATATGGATGCTCTATCCAAATATTAAGCGATTTCAAACAAAAATGTCACAGGTGCGTAAATTACTTAAAATCAATCTATAAGGCAGACATCACTCTAGGCTCAATTCAGTACGTTATGCCAAATTTCGTGCAAATCGAAAGATATATAGGGACTTTGGTGCACCATTTACATGAAATCGGACGAAACTATATATGGGAGCTATATCTAAATCTGGACCGATTTTCACGAAACTTGGCAGGCATCACGAAACTTGGCAGGCATCATTCTAGGCTCAATTCAGTACGTTATGCCAAATTTCGTGCAAATCGAAAGATATATAGGGACTTTGGGGCACCATTTACATGAAATCGGACGAAACTATATATGGGAGCTATATCTAAATCTGGACCGATTTTCACGAAACTTGGCAGGCATCACGAAACTTGGCAGGCATCATTCTAGGCTCAATTCAGTACGTTATGCCAAATTTCGTGCAAATCGAAAGATATATAGGGACTTTGGGGCACCATTTACATGAAATCGGACGAAACTATATATGGGAGCTATATCTAAATCTGGACCGATTTTCACGAAACTTGGCAGGCATCACGAAACTTGGCAGGCATCATTCTAGGCTCAATTCAGTACGTTATGCCAAATTTCGTGCAAATCGAAAGATATATAGGGACTTTGGGGCACCATTTACATGAAATCGGACGAAACTATATATGGGAGCTATATCTAAATCTGGACCGATTTTCACGAAATTTGGCAGGCATCATTCTAGACCTAAATGATTAGGCTGTACCAAATTTCGTGCAAATAGAAGGATATATAGGGACCGTTTACATTAAATCGGTTAAATATATATATGGGAGCTATATCTAAATCTGAACCGATTTTTCCCAATTTCAATAGGGTTCGTCCTTGGGCCGAATAAGTGACCTATGCCAAATTTCATTCAATTCGGATCATAAATGCGACCTGTACTTTGTTCACAAAAATACATGGACAGACAGACGGACGGACGGACGGACATGCATAAATCGACTTAAAAAGTGATTCTATGCATATTCTCAAAAGGAACCATGTGTCTATCTCGTTTCCTTTTGCCTGTTACAAACATAGGCCCAAAGACATAATACCCTGTACCACAGTGTGGTGAAGGGTATAAAAACGCGTTTAAAGTTTGAGAAGCCCTTTAGCCGTTACTTGATGCTGACAAAATAAATCGGCTAAATTTTCAAGAGTTCTTGAGATTTTCACTTGAAATTTTGTAGGGACATTCTTGAATTAGTGTAGATTCGAATTCAATAAAAAAAAATTGACCCCGAGAATGGGGGGTCCCCTTAAGTAGAAAAAAACTCAAAATTTGACATGCAAAAACAAATATCAACTATAAAAATTAAAGGTAAACCTAACACTTTCATCAAAGCGATGAAACTTATTTCTTGAAAAGAATTAAAAATGTTGCACACTTCTTCCACATCTCATCAATTAAAAAATAAGTAAACCAAAAATTGTGAAATAAAACAAAAATTTAAAAATAATTTTTTGGGGTTTTTCTTGTTTCGTTTTTGTTGTTGTTTTTGTATTTTGTATAACAGTTTATTTAGAAATAAAAGAAAAAAAATATATATATTTTTATAATTATAATTTCAAATAAAGGGGAGTAGTAAATGGGGGAAAGAAAAAAGAAATTCCATAGACATTTTACAAAATAAAAGATACATTACAAAAAAAACTTAAGTTAAAAGAAAAGCAAAGACTAAAATGTAGAGAAAAACACATCGTCATTATAATAGACAATTCAAAAAATTATTATTATTATAAAAATAGAATAGTAATATTAATTAAAAATTTAAAAAATAATAATTAAAATTATATCACCTTTTTTGTTAAAAAAAATGTATGTATGTATTTTAGATAATTCTATATATATGCTTTTTATATATGTATATGTGTGTTATTATATATAGTTCTCTTTTTGTTTTTTAATCCTAGAAAAAATATATATTTTTCGTTTATGTAGCTAGCTATTTATGTTTATATATAGAATTTATAAAGTATATATAACAAGTAGAAGTATAAATAAGTATAGGCATAGAAATGTATGTGTGTGTATATATACGGGGTACTTGAATGAAGTTGTGCGGTTAAAATAATCATCGTTCCTATTATAAAAATTTTGGGAATTGAGAAATGTGAATTTTACCTTGAAATTAAAATGAAATTAAAAAAAAAAATCGTTTAGAATCTGCACACAGAGAAATTATAGTAGTCAATAATCGCCCAGCTCTATATGAGTATATAAAATAATTCATACAGAAAACCAATTACAATTATGATTTGAGTTTTTTTTTACTAGTTAAAAAGTAAAAATAGGTCAGTCGGTGTTGCCGACAGATATATACGACCAGCCTATTATTATATAGATATATACGCCCAGATTTTATTATTACCTTTATATAAGAAATATGTTTTTTTAACAAAGAGGTTTCGGATTTAATGTTGATAATTTTTTTTTTAAATATTGACCATTTGTGAGGGAGCTATCGGAAGGAGTGGACTACTGGGAGTTATCGGAAGGACTGGACCACCTTCGGAATTGATATAGTGTTGGTAAAGATAGTAGTTTCTACATGACATTCCATTCGCCTGATATTGCATTTATAAATATTGAAAATGTTGACCATTCGTGGGGGAGGTACTAGAAGGAGTGAACTAATCGGTCCCATTTTTGGACTTAATCTAGACTTCGTAATGATAATAGGTTGTGCAAAGTTTGGTTCATACTGGACATTCCATTCGCCTGGATGAATTTCAAAAATATTGAAGGGTCCCATATTACTACTTGATCTAGGCTTGGTAAAGATAATGAGTTGTACAAAGTTTCGTTAAAATCGGATAGTCCATTTGCGTGTTA